ATGTTTGATATTTAATAAAAATTATAACAGCTGATATTTACCTATGATCTCTAATATAAAAAGTGCTACCATGCTCTTTCTCTCATTAATACCATTTTTTCTTTTTTCTAGTTTAACCAGTTTATTTCATATGGTCTTAAATCTTAAAACTATTTATTCTGTATAGATAAGTAATTCAAATCATTGGCTTATTTCCCTACCCATATGTTCAAACTTCATCTGTCAAATTCATTAAGTGGTAGTTCCCAAACATCACATAGCAAAACAAAACAAACAAACAAAAAACCTAAAACACTAAAAAAAAAAAAAAAAAAAACCCAAAAACCCCCACGACCCTACCAATATTTATTTTCGTAAAATTAGTGCTTTTCTGCAGTTGATTTTTGTCTCAATAATCCAAATTCAGTTTTCATTAGTTTTAGCAAATGAAGTAAACTAAAATGTTATGCTCAAAAATATACATACACACGCCAAAGGCGGAGAGATATACCAAGCTATTATTAATGGTTATCTATAAGCAGGTAAAATTTTAAGATTTTTGTTTGTTTGCATGTTTTCTTCATGTAGATACTCTTTTTTAAATAATTTTTATTTTATTTCAATAGTTTTGGGGGTACAAGTGGTTTCTGGTTACATGGGTAAGTTCTCTAGTGGTAATTTCTGACATTTTCATGCACCTATATCCTGAGCAGTGTACACTATACCCAATATGTAGTCTTTTATCCCTCACCCTCCTCCTAACCTTTTTCCCTGCCCCACCCCAAGTCCCCAAAGTCCACTATATCATTATTATGCCTTTGCATTCTCATAGCTTAGCTCTCACGTACAAGTGAGAACACCCGGTATTGGTTTTCCATTCCTGAGTTGCTTCACTTAGAATAATGGCCTCCAGCTTCACCCAAGTTGCTGCAAAAGACATTATTTCATTCCTTTTTATGGCTGTGTAGTATTCCATGGTGTGTGTGTGTGTGTATGTGTGTGTGTGTGTATATAACATTTTCTTTACCCACTCATTGATTGATGGACACCCAGGTTGGTTCTATATCTTTCGAATTGCAAATTGTGCTGCTATAAACATGTGTGTGCATGTGTTTTTCATATAATGACTTCTTTTCCTTTGCATGGATACCCAGTAGTGGGATTGTTGGATTAAATGGTAGTTCTACTTTTAGTTGTTTAAGGAAACTCCATACTGTTTTCCATAGTGGTTGTACTAGTTTACATTCCCTGTTTTTTCTTCTTCTATTTAAAGCTACAGTCTATGTCCTTGAGTCTGGGTCATTGCTAAAAATATCCTCTCTTTTATGGATGTGTCATTATATTTCTTCTTTTGCTTCATTTTTCTGTTTTTTGAATAGGATAATTTCTCTATCTTCAAGTACACTTTTTTTTGCCATCTCAAATCTTTCACTGAGATTATGTAATACAATTTATATTTCTCTTACTGTATTTTTCAACTCTAGAAATTTCATTTTTTATAGAATCATTTCCCTATTGATATCCTTTATATGTTAAAGAATTATCATTATATTTTCCTTTCTTTGAAAAATGTTTAATTTTTAAAAAATAATTGTAAGAGCTACTTTCAAGAGTTTGCTTATGAATCCAGTATCTGAGCCCAATGGGTCTGTTTCTATTGGTTGCTATTTTCTTCCTCAGAGTGGGTGACACTGTTTCTTTGCATAAACCATGATTGTTGGTTGAAAAGCAGAATTTTTTTTTGAGAAAGCATGCTTTAGGTGGTGCATGCGATCTCAGCTACTGCACCCCTCCGGTCAATTCCTGCTCAGCTCCGTTGATGGCCCCATTCTTAGTTTTTTTTTTTTTATAGAGATGTTTCTGTTGAGATGTTCATCTTATCGTTCCCCTTCCTCCCAGTTATTAGCTTGCCCCCCCCTAAGCATTTTTTATTTTCTTTTTTTTTTTTTTTTTTTTTTTTTTTTAATTTATCTTCTTAGATTTACACAGATTTAAAATCTGTCTCTATATGGCCTGTGGCTGCTGGTATCTTTGCTCTGTTTTTAAATTCACATTTTTATTTTTACCCTGACTTTCTGGGCTTTGTCCCTGTGTTTGCATAGCTGTGGAGAGTCAATGATTTGGCAGTGGTTGCACTCAAACACCTTGATTTGGGAGTCTTCTTCCCTCTGCTAATGGATCTGTGTGTGGATTAGGGAATACATTCACAGTTGCCACCAGTTCTCAAGTCTCCCTTTGCTTTTACTTTTCAACAGGTCTCTTGGGTCAACCCCAGGCAGATGCATAGTTTCCCAATCAGTCAGAGATGTGTGGAGATGTAATTAACAAATAGAGTAGTTCTGTGGGGAAGTAGACTCTATAAAAAAGAATGTTATTTCCAGAGTTAAAAAGTACAGGCTGGAGTGCAGTGGTATAACCATAATTCTTCAATGACTCTTATTTCTAAAATCTCCCTGTTAGATTTTTGAGTGGCTTGCCATTTGCCCCACCTGGGACTGTAACCTCAGGTAAGCACAGCTGTGGGTTTGCCCTGTTCATTTCCATATGAGTTTGTCACTTTTAGTTGGCAAAGCCTTGGGTTTTTGACCACCCACCACAAATTAAGTCCATCCCTTGGGCAACAAAGCTGCTAGTTTTCTTGGCTGTTCCTACCCACACTGGCAAAACTGCAGTTCTGGTGCAACAGGGTGGGAGAGAAGCAGCCTCAGGTCAGAAGGCCACAGATATCCACTGTTCCTGCTAGAAGTTCTAGCTGTTTTTGAAGCACAGATGTTTCTCAAATTGTTTTCTGTATTTGTTTGATTTCCAGTGCTCTGAAATGGTTGTTTTTGCCAATTTATCCAGTTTTATACTGGTTTTGTGTGCAGAGAATTGCTGACTATGCCACACAGCCATAGCTGAAAGTCCCTTGCAAAGTTTTTTTACGTAGGAACCTGTATTAGTTAGGACCTTTCAGTGTCATATAAAAGAAATCCAACTGAATTAGTTAGGACTTTTAGAATTTTAATATGAACTGGCTTAAACAATACAGGAAATTTGTGGTTCACAATTCTGGATAGTCTGTAAGATGGCCTTGCTCACAATCCCGAATAGTCTATAGGATAGTCCATAGAATCAAACAGGTGAGGTTTGACACTGCAGCTCAAACCATGCCACCAAACACAAGGTTCTTCTCCATCTTTCCCGCGTTCATTTGACAGTACTGACTTCAACCCTAGGCTCTACATGTTGCCCTCCCTCTAAACTCTCATCCTTCTAGGGTTTCCCCTTATAGGAGGAAAACGGTTGCCACATTTCCAGGCGTCATATACTTACACCATGCTAGAGAAGCAAGGAAGCTACCGTTTACTGGAAGTTCCAGCCCAAGTCTTTGTGGGTTCATTGTTTCTGACTGGGCTTGTGACCATCTCTGCTGCTAGAGGGAATGGTTACGTTGCCTGGCTTAAATGGGAGGAATAAATACTTAGGTGGCAGCCAACAAATATATTCTATATCCACACACATTGGCTCCAAATAATAAATCAATCAATCAGTGGGCCCACTTACTTAGGCTCACGTGCTCACAGCACTTAAAAAGCTGCACAAACCATGCCTCCAAATGAAACCACGGTCTACATTCTGCCAGCTCTTTCTCCCTTTCCATTTCCCCTTTCTTCTCTTTCCCACCCTCACGTTTGGCTAGGCCACTCGGTTGCAAGAAACACGTCCATCAGCAATTGCCTCAGTAGAAAACTCCCTCTGCTCCCCTCTTGCGTCCATATAGCAATTTCAGGCAAGGCCTCCATAAGGCCCAGCGTGGATCAATGCCTGTCCCTTGGCCGAATCAGTGCTGTCACAGGCAAAGAATTGTCACTGCCATGCTCACCTGCCCAACCCACTGGTCAGAGAAGACTGTTGTATTGCGAAAGGGGCCATGAGAAGGCTTTTCCCAAAGTCAAAGACCAATGGCTATGTCAGACCATGCCGTATCCACTTGTGGGAGGCCCCTAAATGAATGTAAGGCCCCAGGGGTTGAACTTTACTGGGTAGGAAGCGCAGAGTACTAGAGACAGATTTACCGCCCGCTTTGAGGAAAGCTGATGTGGGAGCAGAGAGCAAGATGGACAGCAGCTGCCAATCTAAATAGGCAACGAAGAGCCACAGAGAGTGCTGCACGTAGGAATGCCAGGGACAGGGAAGGGTCGTCTATTCCAAGTCCCACCTCTCCCCTAATAAACTGCCACATTTCAGAAAACACGAAGACTGCTGAAACCCTGTTTCCAGCCTTCGCTATGCATTAGCAGAGCAACTCAACAAGCCTGGGTGAAAGGCTTCTCGAAGAAATTCAGTTATCTCTACTGCCAGCCAAACACGGGCTGGGCTGCTCGGTAACTGCTGAGCCGGGGGCGCGCTGGAGCCCCGCAGAAGCCCACACCCGCTTCAGGAATTCCGTGGATGTTCCCGACAGAGGTTTATTCCCGCCTCTCCCTACAGGCCTACGGCGCTCCTTCCTCCAACCCCACACCCAGTCGAAGGCGGGGCAGCAGCCCCACCCAGGGGCAGGCCGGGCGGCCCCCAGGCCGGTTTAACTGGTTGGAACGACGAAAGCACGCTGGCGCAAGGAAAGTTCTCAACTTCGGGAGCTGAGGCGCAGGCTGGCCAGAGCGTGGAGAGGGAAGCTCTCTCCATCCTCTGGGCCGTTGCAGGACATGCCCACGAGACACCTTTGCCAGCACCACACCGGGGTAAGTGTCCGTCCCCGCATCCCGCAAGGCCAGCGACTGCGCAGGCGCCTGCAGAGCACTGGCGCTCGGCGCGTTCTCTCGCCTTCTTCTTTAGTCTCCTCAGCGAGCCTGGGGACGAAGGAGGCGCGGTGCCTCCTGGGTGTTGTAGTTTGCTTCCTTGGCAAAAGGCCTTCTGGCTAGTTGGATGCCGGGGCCTCGGGAACTACGCCTCCCAGCGCGACCCGCGCGAGAGCACAGGGCGCCTGCCCTTGACGGCTTCAGCCGTCTGAGCGGAGAGGAGGATCCGGGAAGCCGGCTGCGGCGGGAGGAGGGAATGCGCGTGCGCGCTGGACCGGCTCGTCCTGTTCCGTCCCAATCATTGTAAACAGGCGGAGGCTGGGCGGGGTGGGAATGGGGCGCCCGAGGCCGGCCTGGGGCGCAGCGCAGGAGGCGGCTCCGGTGGCTGCGGCGGCAGAGTGAGCGCGAGGAGGCGGAGGCTGCGGCGGGGCGGGCGGTCGCGCGGCGGCAGGCACAGGTCAGTCCCAGGGAGCGGTCGCGTGCGAGGGTCGCGGCGATGCCCCTGGAGTGCCCGAGGAGCCCTCTCCCGCGCCGGCCTCGCGCCTGCGTCTGTCAGGCAGCGTGTGGGGCTCGGTGCTCGCAGCCCTCGGGTTTGAAGTTGGGGGCGGGGGGCGTGGCTGCCCCCTCGTCGGTTTCTCCCGGGAAACCTTCGCCCCAGTTTTCGCCCCCCTGGCCGTGCGTCCCTCCCACTGGCCGACGGGCCTCCCTTCGTGGCGTCCGCGTTTGTGGTGCTCTCGGGGGCCAGGCGTGGAGAGTTAGGAGTCCCCAGGCCTCGGGGAAGCTCTTGGGGGGCGCCTGGACAGAGGTGAGGGGATCCAGCCCTCACGGTTGGATCGTGCCCGGCATAGTAGCCAGGCTCCGGGGCTTACCCAGGGGACCAGGACAGGCTCCTGGTGTCGCCCGCCGCTGGCACTGAGCAGTGGGCGCCTTTGGTGCTGCGGTCCTTCCTTCAGGTTTCCGTGGGAATGGACGGACAGATCTGGATGGAGTTGAGATTTCTTTTCACAACTCATGTTCAACTATGTGTGTTGCCAAAATGCTCTTAATTGAGGTCAGTTTTCTCCCTCTTTTTAAAAACCTGATCGTTGTGAGAGTGAAACAGGTTTTACGGAATATTTCACACCTGCGTCTTCCCTGAAGTAATTCTGCTGCTTCAACTTTTGGGATTCAGTATTACAAAGCCTTCCTCTTGAGCAAGGCCTAGTACAGTTCTTCAAGGTCCCTAGCATGTTAGTTCGAGGTGTTTTGAACGTGCATGTACAGGAAGTGCAGCCGTTTGGCCGTTGAGTTAGTGCACCATCCAGCCTTGTTAGAAAAGCTTTCGCTGAATTTTTTATTTAGTGGAGTGGTCGTGTCCTAAGGCTGCAGTACTTTGGGGAGTATTCCATCATACTTGGCAGTTATTCACGAAATACTGAATATGTGATAAGGTTTGTTTTGGTGCTCGGCACTTCTAAATGAATAAGTGGGACTGTGAGTAAGAAAGATCACCTCACTTTCTGTTTTTAGAGTTATTTTGGTGATTTGATAACTCCTTTCTGTCTTTGTGAAGGTAATTACTGTTAAGCTGGAGTGGCAGTAGTAGGGGTAGGAAGGTCAGTAGAGTGGTTCCCACTTCTCATTCAAAGTATCTGGTGGATCCAAGTGGAGTAGATTAGTTAACAGTAGCATTGTTTTTTATTTCTTATTTTTTGAGACGGAGTTTCGCTCTTGTTACCCAGGTTGGAGTGCAATGGCATGATCTCAGCTCATCACAACCTCCGCCTCCCAGGTTCAAACGATTCTGCAGCCTCAGCCTCCCGAGGGGATTACAGGCATGCACCATCACGCCTGGCTAATTTTATATTTTTAGTAGAGACAGATTTTCTCCATGTTGATCAGGCTGGTCTTGAACTCCCGACCTCAGGTGATCTGCCCGCCTAGGCCTCCCAAAGCGCTGGGATTACAGGCGTGCGCCACCGCAGCCGCCCAACAGTAGCTTTTGAGAAGTAACTCTTTTTTTTTTTTTTTTTTTTTTTTTTTGAGACGGAGTCTCGCTGTGTCACCCAGGCTGGAGTGCAGTGGCCTGATCTCGGCTCACTGCAAGCTCCGCCTCCCGGGTTCACGCCATTCTCCCGCCTCAGCCTCCCAAGTAGCTGAGACTACAGGCGCCCGCCACCACGCCCGGCTAGTTTTTTGTATTTTTAGTAGAGACGGGGTTTCACCATGTTAGCCAGGATAGTCTCGATCTCCTGACCTCGTGATCCACCCGCCTCGGCCTCCCAAAGTGCTGGGATTAGAGGCTTGAGCCACCGCGCCCGGCGGAGAAGTAACTCTTTAAACAAGGTATCTCGAAACAATGTAATACAATGTAATACAACTTAGTTTGCTATCTCTTCAAAATATTGTTTCTAATTATAGATCTTATTGGGACTATTTCTCCCCTAATTTAGAATAGGAAAGTGTTATCAGAAAGTGCATAATAACCTTAATTTGCACAGTTATATTTGCATAGTTGTTTGCTTGGCAAGAAGAGATCGGGCCCAGAATTAACCCAAAAGAATATTATTTCTGTTTTGAAAGATCCCTGATAGCAACTTATGTTAGTTTATATAAAAGGATACAAGGAAAAATGCGGATTATTTAGAATACAGGAATTACTATGTAGAAAGTACTGCGACCAGGTGAAGAGGACTTAAAGATACACACGGCAATGTTTCTGCCTTCAGGGGAGTTGAACCTTATCTCTTTCTTTCACTGTCGACTAGTACAAGATTGTTTTGATTGAAGAACGTATGCTGGTACAGTGGATGTACAAAGGAGATAGTGGTCAGTTTCTTAAGGAGGTAGTGGCCAGTTTCTTAAAGTGAAGAAAAGGAGAGCTGAAGAAGAGGAAAACTGTAAGGAAGAAAAACTATGTAGAAGGTGATGAAAATAAGAAGTGTACAGGCGTAGAAAGAATGGGCATTTAGGTAGGAGCAGTGTGAGAAAAAGCATGGGAGTCTAAAATTACAGAATAGCATCTGCAAAAATAGCAAGTGTAATACAGGGTGGTGGCAAGACCTGAAACTGGGGAGATAGGCAGAGACCAAATTATGGATCTTGCAGACCATCAAAGTCATTACAATTTTATCTTATAAGCAAATAGGAGTCATTGAGAGGACAAAGAAGAGACCTAAGCTAGCTAAGCCCATTTTTAACCCTCTGCTATATAGGTCAGGCACTGCATTAGGTACTGTATATTTTATGTCCTTAAGCTTAAATAAGGCTTAGTCATGACTGATGCAGAAATTGCGGGGCTGGGGCAGGGGTGGGGAAGGAACTTTTAGAGGGAAAGGTGGACAGAAACGTAGGTTAGAAGGAACATGGAACACTTTTTTTCCAATACAAACACCATCACTCGGTTTTATTGGTTTTGTTATATTAACCTCTGAAGTAGGCGATTATTGGTGTGAACATACATTTTTAAAAACATATGGAGTCAAGAGTACAAGAATGTCAACTCAGTGCAAGTACTGTTGGTGAGCATTATGTCCTGAGGATGAAATCGGAGGACCAACAAGCCCAGGAGGCTTCACAACCAACACCGCCCAAAAGGACAGCAGACCAGGCTTCAGAGCGGAACCGCCTTCTCCATGTAAACTTTTGACGTAAACTTTATGCTTCAGGATGGCCTCTTCTGCTCCGAGAGCCTCTCCTTCCGCGTCCCAAGTTTGGGAATGGCCCGGCGGGGCTCAGGCCCAGGTGGTGGAGGCCCCGGTGTGGCAGCCCCGTGCTGTCCATGATCCCAGGAGTCGAGTTCAGAAGCCCCCCCTGCGGTGGGTTGGCGGCTTCGCCGTAGCTGAGCTAGTCTTCCAATGGAAACTCAGTAAAAAAAGAGTCGGCGCCATCCGCCTGAGCGCGGGTTTCCTCCTGAGCTAGGGGCTCGGCTGCCTCAGGCGCAGAAGGGTGTGCTGCCGGCCTCGGTCAGGGCGAGCAGCTCCCTGGGGGCGCCCGCAGCCGGGGTGTCCTGGGGCGCAGCAGGTGGAAAGGCGCGGGCCAGGGGTGCAGTCAGCACAGAATATGGAAGAGAATGGGAAGTTGTTTTCTGTAACTGTGGCATTAGTTGTGGTGATAAGTAGCAGAAGATGAGGTTGCACAGATCCTCAAAAGTATTGCATGCCGTTCCAGGGACCTTACTATTTCTTCCTGTAGATAATAATAGGGTTTGTGTATTTTAATGAAAAAGGAGACATTATATGATTTTTATTTTATTTTTTTACTTTTTTGAGATAAGGTCTCACTGTGTCACCCAGGCTGAAATGAAGTGGCACTCACCGCCCTCCATCATGGCTCACTGCAGCCTCGACTTCCCGGGCTCCAGCGATCCTCCCACCTCAGCTTCACGAGTAGCTGGGACCACAGGTGAAGGCCACCACACCTGGCTAGTTTTTTTTTTTCTTTTTTTTGGTAGAGATGGGGTTTTGCTATGTTGCCCAGGCTGTTCTTAAACTTTGAGCTCAGGCAGTCCACCCGCCTCGGCCTCCCCAAGTGCTGGGATTACAAGTGTGAGCCACCGTTCCGGCCAACATTTTTATTTTAGAAAGATCATTCTGGAATTGTAGAGTAAGCATTTGAGAGGGGATGGAGAGAAGGTAAGAATGGATGTAGAAAGACTATTTAGGAGGTTTTTGCAGTAATCGAAGTGAGAAATAAGGGTCCAAACTTAGGCAGTGTTAGAGGGGATATGAAGGAGGAGGGAAATAGAAATATTTAGAAAGTAGAATTCATAGGATTCAGCAACAGTTGGATATGGGGAGTGAGGGGAAAATAGTAGAATAAGATGACTTGGATTTTAACTTGGGTGATTGAATAGACAATGGTAAAATATACTGAGACAGGGAATTCAGGAAGAGAAGCATATTGGAGGAGAAGTAGTATTTTAGCTTCTGAACATATTGAGTGGAAGTTATCTGTGAAACATCCAGGTGGAATCATCTGCTTTGGAATTGTGAATGTGGATTTGGAGTACAATATAACAGGCTATGTTATGAGTGGTATCTGAATTCTTTGATTTAGATAATACCAAATACGAAGAGTTTGTTGACATAAAATAGTTCTGGAAATAGGCCGTGGAGAACATTTAAAGCTAGATAGAAGAAGAGCTGGAAAAGGAAATTCCTAAGTGTTTGGAGATGTAGAGAAATAATGAGAAAATGTCATAGAAGCCAAAATGGGATCTGGCACCATCACAACTCACTACAACCTCCACCTCCCGGGCTCAAGCCATCCTCCTACCTCAGCCTCTCAAGCAGCTGGGACTGCAGGCACATACCACCACACCTGGCTAATTTTTGTATTTTTGGTAGGAATGGGGTTTTGCCATGTTGCCCAGGCTGATCTTGAACTCCTGGGCTCAAGTGATCTGCCTGCCTTGGCCTCCCAAGTGCTAGGATTACAGGTGTGAGCCACTGCATTGGGCTGGGATCATTTTTAAAG